AAAAAAAAAAAAAAAAAAAAAAAAAAAAAAAAAAAAAAAAAAGATTGCCCAGTTGGCTGTCTAGAGACATAATTCTAGAAGGGTATCCCTTAAGGTACGTCACTGCCCCCTGCTGGAAGGCAGTGGCATGCCCTCAACCCTACGCCAGGATGCTAGCGAGTCCTTTGGTACTGTATGGAGAACGTTATGGGCCGGTCTTGAGTGCCCTTCCTCCTGGAGGAACGTGGCTTGAAGGCAATGCTCCATCTCTCTTTTACTGCCTCTCAGTCTGGTTCCAGTTCTCTATTTGGGGAGAAGAACACTGGTTTTCAAGTCTGACTGAATATGCCAGTTCCTGCCTGATGCTCTGGCCACTGGCCACTGGACCCCAGTTGGTGTCACTATTTAGATAAGCTTAAGAAGTGTTAGGAGGCCTTACTGGAGGAAGTATGTCACCAGGGACCAGTGTTGAGCTGCAAAGCCATGTGCCATTCCCAGGGTCATTCCCAGTTTGCTCTCTGCTTGTGCTTGAAGTTTAACCGCAGCTGTTCCTACTCCAGTCCTCAAGCCTTCCCTCTGCCTTCATGGGCTCCTAACCCTCTGGAACCATAGGCCCCAATCAACTCACTGTCATACAAGCTGCCTTAGTCATGCTGTTTTAGCATAGCAATAGAGAAGTAACTGATACCATGCCCATGAAGGCTGGGGTTGCGGGTCAGTCTGTCCGTTGAATGCATGCCCAGCAGACATAAGACCCTCGATTTGTGCCACACAGGAGTATGGGTACACACCTTTAATCCCAGTAATTGGGAGATGGAGGCAGGGGGCTTAGGTGTTACAGAGCATCCTCAGTTGGCAGGCAGTCTGGTTTACGTGAAAACCTGTTTGTTTATTTATTTATTTATTTATTATTTATTTATTGGTTTTTTCGAGACAGGGTTTCTCTGTGTAGTTTTGGAGCCTATCCTGGCACTCGCTCTGGAGACCAGGCTGGCCTCGAACTCACAGAGATCCGCCTGCCTCTACCTCCTGAGTGCTGGAATTAAAGGCATGCGCCACCAACACCCAGCCTAGAACCTGTTTTTAAAAAATATATTTTTAAATATAATGCATTACATGATCAATATAGATGATTGCAAACCCTAATGAGACAATGCTATGCTGTGTCCAACCTGTCCTGCCTCACCTGTGAGTCTATCCCCAAGGCTGCTGTGGTCAAAACCAAAGGCTTCTTGGGTATTTTTCTTTATAAATCTACTTTATGGTGTTGGGGCCAGCATCATTCCTAGAAGCCACCAATCTAGAGAAAGATGTGTTCTTCCCACACTGTGCCCTGGCTGTTTGAGAGGGGAAGGGGAGGGGCCTGCTGAGTGGGAAATCTTAGCGCTGGGTGATACTCACTCGGGCTTTGGTGGCAAACCCTCCCTCCACCTCCACCCCTGTGAGCTCCAGTTTCCCAGATGGGGGTCATGGGTGTTGAGATGGGGAGAGTCCCACCGAGAGGGAGAGGGAGTGTGCTTACCTGCTCTACAGGTTGGTGTTTTGTTTTGTTTTTAATTGTACTGTTTTGTAGAAGGATTTTGGAAGAAAACCAATAAAATATACCTGAGCTGTCCCCGAGCTATGTGAAAACCGTTGTTCTCTTCTAGCCCTGCCCTGTCATCTGTTGTGCTTGGCCTCCGGAAGACTTCCTGTGCACTCCTCAGAGGGTGGGGATGTAACATCTTGGACCTCTCTAAATCTGGAACTTCCAGGGTCCTGGAACCAGGTTTAGAACTCGGTCCCTGTTCTGCCCAGATGGTTCAAATGCAGGACCTCAGAGAATGAGGCTGTAGTTGAGGCCGGGGGTGTGGCAGGTTCTTGGGCTCCGATGGCCCTGGCTGTACTTCTCAGTTTAAAATACTACCATGGCTTCCCATGATAGTCAGAGCAGAAAGCCAATGTTCTCTGTGTGACCAAGCCTGGTGACCTCTCTGATCCCCCTCCAGCCACCCTGCAGTCCCAAGGCCATCGCACTGTTCCTTCTGTGCCTGCAGAGACCTCTCTACAGGCTCACTGACCCCGTCTTTATCGGGTGCATTGCAAGATATCTCTCTTTATTCTTCCTGAAAGTAATTATCACAGTCAAAGTATTTGGTAATTTGTGGCTGGAGAGATGGCTCATCAGTTAAGAGCCCATATTGCTCTCTTACAGAGAACCCAGGTTCGGAAGTCCAGATCCAGGGAATCAAAGTCCTTCTGGCTTCCGAGGGCACATACAAACCAAATAAACAAGCAAATACCTCCCCCACACAAGCACACAAGATTAAAAATAAAATTTAAAGGGGATAGGAGCCGGAGAGAGAACTCAGCGGTTAAGAGTGTTCTCATAAAAGACTGGGGTCTGTCAGGCTCCAGAGAATCTGATTTTCCCTTCTGACCTCCGAGGGCTGCTGCACCCCCATCCATATACACACACGTACACAGAAAACAGGGAACTGGAGACGGGGCTGGGGACGTGGCTCAGCGGTCACCCCAGCACCCAGAGCCCCCAGGGATCAGACGTCCTCTCCTGGCCTCTGCGGGCACCCGGCACACACGTGGTGCCCGGACACACATGCAGACCCATGCACACAGAAAATAAATAAGACGGGAACGTTAAGAAAGACGACGAGGAGAAGGAATCAGATTGGGCAGCCTTTTCAGCAGCGCGGAGCGCATT